GTAATATCCCAGTCTTCTACTTGAATCTCTACTTCGACTGATCTGGAAGTTGGTAGAGCCATTGTTTGCTGAAATGTATTTGTCTGCCAGTTTGTAGGATTTCCTGGTAGAAGAATCTGCTTCTTTTCCTTAGATTATTATGTCGATTGAGCTGTGGAAGGAGATGGATCTGTGGCTGGACTACTTCTAAAGGCTTCTCTGTACTGTCTGATTGAAGATAAGTATTATTACTAGTAGAATCATATACTAGCTGATATGGAGTGAAATAGATTTTGTTATTTATGGATGCTATTTTTTCCCATGTATCTGTTGGAGTATTAGCCTGAACTGCCCAGTAAATCTTCCTTCTATCTGGGTTTATTGGAAATGCCCCAGTTTGCATATTTTAAACTGTCCATTCAAACCCATGTAGAGAGTTTCATAGGAGATTTTGATTTACTGTTGTTTTTTCCCTCACTTTTTTGTACCAGGAGGGAACCAGTCCCTTGTATCTATTATAGAGGATTTGAACTGCTCTCTATTTCTTAAGTGTCATTGTGGTAGTATTGATGTGCTGATCTAGAAACATGATCTTGTGTTTTCATAGTGATGAAATGGCTTTTTCATATTCTCTATCCTCTTACAATATAGATTTGATTGATAAGATACCTCCCTGGTACTCAAATATGTTTTTTCATCTTCATCTTTGAAAAGTAACTTGTATACTATTTGCCAGAACCAGTGTCATAGCTGCCAAGTTTCCTTTAGTTAGCTTGTAAGAGTTGATAGAATTGCTTAGAATATTACCTAGCTCTCAACATTTGATTTGACTTTGTTTCAGTCTAATTATGGTAGCAATACCAGAGGCCTCGTTGTTGTTAAGTTGATAGAAAAGTGCAGGTATATAACTTTCTAGTTATATCTTCCAAATACTTTTGAGAACATATATTCCTTTGTTGACTACAACTTTTGGAATTATTATACAGACCATTAATTATGAAGATTTAAAATAAATATTTTTATTAACTTAATTAAATATTGATAATTTTAAATATTTTAAATTCAGAGTAAAAAAAATAATTTAAATTATTTTAAATAAAAAAGGTTACCAGAAAATTTTTAAATAATATTTTTGTCATTTTCAAAAATAACTGCTTATATATATACAGTATATCTATTTTTATAAATATAACATTATAATTTATCAGCAAAACTATTTTTAATAATAGTTATATACAAAATTTAGTAAATAATAATAGCATATCCAATAAAAATTTTATCAATTTTTTTGAAAATTTATGTTTGCTTTACTTGTTTAGTTGATTATTAAAAATTATTTTTGGATAAAATAGAATACTTATTAAAATTCTAAATTCTAATTTTAATTAACTATTGTAAAATTATTATTTCATTAGTTTTATAAATTTTGATAATATTTTAATTTTTGATTTCAAAAATATAATATATCCTAGTTTAAAATGGCATTAAAAATTATAAATATTATGACTCAAATATATACAGTATATGTATTTATTTATTTATTGTTTTTTTTTAAAAAAAGTAATGATAATTATCGACTTTAATTTTAATAGAATTATTTTGAAAATTATTTTTATATTGTTGTATTTTAATGTTAATAATTCAATGCTACTATTATATTTATAAAATCAAGAGTAATAAAATAAAATAGATTGAAAAAATACTTTTAAGATAAATAAAAAATCACTGCGTTACTTTGGTTCTGACTTTAACATTTCAAATTTTAACATTTCTAATATTTCTAGGAAACTTTTTTTATAATTTTATTAAAGATCAGTCTAGTTTAAGTGATTTCAAGGTCATTACAGGATGAGCTCTGATATTAAATCAGCCTGAAACCTTGGGTAATCATATGCTTAATTATAAAAGTAAACAGCATTTTTTTAACTATTTAACATTAGCAACTTAATTATAGTTAAATGTATTTAATTTATAAGTTTATTTTTATATATACTATCAATTTAGAATAATTTATAAAATCTATCTGAAATAAAATATTGATTGCTCTTTAATATTTCTATTCCAGCTTCACAGTTCTTTTCAGTATAGAGTCCATATAATATTTGCTAATAAATATTTAAAATATTACCTTATATTTTCTCTTTAATCTACTCATTCTCAACAAAATTTAAAATTCTAGAAACAACTTTTTCTAAATTTTTATACAAATCGCTAACACAATTCGAGTCAAGCACCACCAAATTATCCATCAATAGACCAGTATCAGAGTACCCATTAAATAAGGGTTCGTGATACTTTAAGTAGGACGGCCAGACAAACTTGTCAAAGTAGTCTAATGGCTCACTCCAACGTTCTAATAAAGAAGAAAAAATAATTTTTTTTTTTTACAATACAAAATGTTTTTGATAATATAAATTAAACAAAATATATAATTATATCAGACCCCAAATAATGAAGACACAAGATCGACATACCGTTGGACGCAATCTCTTTCCGTCGTTGTTTTATTGTATAATGATCCGCCTTAATAAAGAATTTTAAATCTAATTCCTTTACAATATCAACATCCCAGTATAAGAGAAATCCATCTACAAAGGCGATCTTCCATTCCAACATTTCATCATTGAACATACAATTTACTTTTAGAGATAATTCCCTTACTAACGATTCTAATTGGTTCTCTCCTTCGAAATCTTTCTTAATAACAGAACCTTCGGTTGAAGGATACTTGGGGAATCCCGTTAGACGGAAGTGCTTTAAAGTTTCTAAAAATTTTGGAAAATTGATGGCATCGGGGCATTCCCAATTATAGAAATTCATTTCTGAAATAAATTGAACTTGCGAAGAATGCT